CCCCCCCCCCAGAGGACCTGTGGTGGCTGATGGTGGTTGGGCAGATATATACTTAGGAATATATGTCTGCTTTCATAATGATTTGCTTTACATACTTCAGTGTAATTTGTATTTCAATATGGTTGAAAGTAGCGTTTCTCTTTTGAGTGGTGCTGGGGCTTACCCTGTCACTTCTGCATACAAAGACCCTGGCACTCTGAATCCTGTGTTTTGAACCATGAAAACTTTCCCTTGTGTAAAGTTGGTTAAGTCTAATTTGTAAAAACTGTACACTCAGCGGAGTAAGGTTTTGCAGGTTGGGACTTGGGCTCTGGGTACTAAATGTTGGATAAACTTTTCCGAGTGACCATGAGGGGCACATCAATAACAGTGTTTGTTTCCCACTGTGGCCATGACTAGGTGGTGGTGACCAACACTGTCCCTCACGAGGTACAGAAGCTGCAGTGTCCCAAGATAAAGACCGTGGATATCAGTCTGATCCTTTCTGAAGCAATCCGGAGAATCCACAACGGGGAGTCCATGGCGTACCTCTTCCGAAATATCACCGTGGATGACTAGCTTTCACGGCCACCTTGCCTGGGACTGTGCCATCAGCTATGTACAGTGTTTCCTTTCAGGGGAGTCGGGTCTCTGTCTCGTCAAGTTTGGTAGGTAGGAGGCATTAAGGTAGCCGAGAGGAGACAAAGCTAAGGGATCAATGGCCTTAAATGTGTGCCCTTGTCCTCCGGTTCCTTAAAGAAGACTTGCAGGCACTTTCCTGAGAAGAATTGGAAAACCTTTTGCTATCGGAAAGGAGTCTTGGGCAGATACAGTTTTAACTCTAATGTCCATGCAGTTTCAGCCACAGGGACGTCACGTTGTGTGGAACTTGGTTGGGGAAGCTGGGTGCCCTGGCTCTGTTTCCACTCCAGTGGCCGCTCCTTAGTCAGCGTCATGTAAGTCCTTTATAGGGAGTTTTCTTTCTGAGAAACTGCTGTGCCTACAGCCACTGAACGGGGANGTCATGTAAGTCCTTTATAGGGAGTTTTCTTTCTGAGAAACTGCTGTGCCTACAGCCACTGAAAGGGGGGGGGCGTGTAGGGTTGCTCCCCAGCAAGGACCGCGGCGAGAGAGCACCTGTCTGTGTCTGCGTTTGTTGCTCTTCAATTGCAAATAAAAGAATCTGTTGTTTTGCCGGTCTCTTCACGCCATTGCACAGCCGCCCACTGTCACACCTCCTGGTGACTGGGGAGACAAGGGAGATAAAGGGGGTAGGCCCTGGTTGGTCCCAGTCCCAGACGTAAGTCCCCTGCAGGTCTGTCCCCTTCCTATGCATTGAAGATAAATCCTTGAATAATACAGTTAAGACCTAAATTTGTAAAAAAGAATCAATTGTACTTTTTCCTGCTATAGGTGACATGTATATCGCATCACTTAGGACTGCACCCAACCTTTCTAAGCAACATTTATAATTATATAATCAGAATTCTAATCTCTACCCCAGTTGTCAGGTAGACCTTGCTGCAAATGTGGTGTAAACTTTCTGTGCCTTCTAGTCTCCCCGGGTCAGGACTGAGTGTAGTAATGGGAGGGAGTGTCTGCTCGGCAGTGACCTGGAAGTGCTCGTTGGTTCTGGCAGTTCCTGAGATAATAAAGGCCATTTTGCACATTTTGTACAGTTGTATTTCTCTGCAGGAATGCTGCGTTGACATTTCTAACCCTTTCCTAGTGACCTGAAAAGTTCCCAGCCCACAATCAAGACTTTGGGCACATTAGCTTTTCAAGCATACAAATAAGTTGCCTTCTGCTAATAGTCCAGGTTGGGGCATTTTTAGCAAAGAACTTAATGATAAAATGAGGAGCGTGGGTCGAGGAGGAGCTATAGACTTCCTCAGGAAGTCAGTTCTTGTCCTTAGGTCGGGCAGATGGCTTGTCCTTCCTGGGCCTGTCGTCAGGAGTATAAAGGGAGCTTCGGAGTTGAAAGCTAAGGCCCTTTCAACTCAGATCCCACTTATACCTCCATTTACTCTCCTCCCCTGTGTCTCTGAGAGCAGAGGCTTTTAAATGTACGTGCTTAGTGGAAGCATGTTAAGTAGGATCTCCTTCCTGGGACTGGGTTGAGACTATTAGAACATGCCCTTTCTTAGAGTCCTTGTATATTCTGTGCCTGGCGTGATACCAAGTCCAAGGATGTGAAAATGAAAACGGAGGACTCAGAGCTGACGTTCCAGGGAAGCACAGTAACATCCTTGGGGAAAGTCACGGAACTCAGAGCTGAGAAAGCCCACGTGCCCTCGCCCCCACGCACCGCAGCTCCCGGTACAGGCGATGCTGGATCCCAAGGCTCTAGCTTTGTCATCTGGCTTTAAGTTTTATAAAGTAAGTGTGTGAGTGCACCAGAGAGTACAAAAATCTGCTCTTTTGAAGATACCAGCAACCACATGAAGGCCTGTGTGCCAGGCATTGGGAATGTAGTGGTAAGCTGAGTCCTCGGTGTTACCCTCATGGAGTTATAGGCTGTGTGTAACTCCATTCCCAGGGGACACTGCTTTTTCTGGGGGGGAGGGGAGGATATAAAGGGTTTCAGTTAAATTTTACCAGCTCAGACTGAACTAAAAATTTAAATTTGAAAGCAGTTAAAATAGGAGTAAGTACAGGTTTTGTTTAGCTTTCCCAAATATTTTACACACCACTTGGAAGAACCTGGAATGGGAGGGCAGGCCTCGTTGAGAGCACCAGGTCGGGCCATCCCTGTCTAACCCCGCCTGCCTGGCCAGGTGAGCGTGCTCTGAGAGAGAGGAGGCCTGCGCAGCGCAGGAAAGGTCTGTCATCTGCTGACTAATTGGCACCACGTGGGTGGTGAGTGGTCTTTTCTAAGTTACCCTCCCTTCTGACTCTGCAAAGTGATATGGGGCCTGCCCCCAAGGGGCCAAGGTCCCAGGACCACACCCTTAGGTCTGTGCCACTGCTGTGTGTAGTGGAACCTCGAAGGACGCAAGCATAACTGCCACGACGCCAGGTAAACCCCTGCACGCCTAGCGGCCTCCAAGGGTGAGTGACTCATGGGCCTTCCTAGGCTAAGGGATGGCTGGAATCTAGGTGAGCGTTAGGAGGCTTCCCCCTCTTCAAACCAATGTGCTTGTTCCCTGATAAAAATGCCTTGGGACAGCCTAGCCAGCGTGGCTCAACGGTGGAGCATCAACCTATGATCCAGGAGATCCCCGCATGACCCTGGTCAGGGCACGTGCCCAGGTTTCCCCGCTGGACCCCCAGTAGGGGGCGCTGCAGGAGGCAGCCGATCCATGACATTGATGTTTCTCTCTCCCTCTCCTCTCCTCTCTCTGAAATCAACACAGACATATTTTTAAATGCCTGGTACAGTCCCATACCATCTTTCCATCTTTCCACCTTCCCTTGGGCGCGTTTGCTGAGAATAAAAATGAGTGGCCCCTGGAGCGTGGCCAGCCAAGCCTTCCCCAGACCCCTGCAGAGGAAAGGCTCCCCCAGTGAGTGGGCAGGTCCCGCGAGGCGCCGCCCGCCTGGCCCCGCACCGCACCCCTCTGGGCGCGCGCTCCTGCGCGGAGGGGCGCGCGGAGACCCCC